GCCCACCAGGCGTGCTGGTAGGGCGATTTGGGCGCTTCGCCTGATGAGCCAGATTTCCAGTTCCTGCGCGGATGGAGAGCGACGGTTTTCACAACGCAGTTCTCGCTTCAGCCCCACGCGCAGTCTCTTGGATGCCTCCCGGTCGCGGCACGAACGGAGGGCCGGGCCGTTCTCAAGAGGTGGCTCTCTCGCTTTATCGGAGCGCGCGGTTTTCTGAATACATCGAACCCGTTGCGCGGAGGGAGGGTGGTTCCAGCACTTGCACACGGATGGGGAGCGACTCCTTTTCAAACCAGGGCCTTCGCTGGACGGCTCCCTGGGCACCATGTTTCTGGTCCTTTGGTTTTCTCCTGGCTGGAAGTAGGGAGGGCGGACTCTTGGTAGAATGGGGCTATTGCATGCATGGCTGACGTCTTCGGTTGCTTGTGGCGACAGTAACTCCTGCAGGGACTAATGGGCCTGGGACGGGATAGCGTTTTGCAACACCGTTGACGCATCCTGGGCTTGTTTTGGTCCTCCCCCTCCTGCTCCCTCTCCTCCTGCTGCTCCTCCTTCTCCTCCCCCTCCTCCTCCTCCTCCTCCTCCTCCTCCTCCTCCTCCTCCTCCTCCTCCTCCTCCTCCTCCTCCTCCTCCTCCTCCTCCTCCTCCTCCTCCTCCTCCTCCTCCTCCTCCTCCTCCCCCTGCGCGCGATGTCAGGAGGGGGAGGAGCAGGAGGGGAAGGAAGGGGGAGGCGCTGGGGTGTGGGCAGGGGGAGGGGCAGAAGGAGCAGGCGCAGCAGACGGACCGGGCCCCGGAGCCGTGCGCACTGGCCACCGGCCAGCGCGGCGGTGCGCGCAGACGGAGGCGGCGCGAGGGGGCCCGGCCTGCTGAGAAGCCAGCGGGCCTCTTAGAGAGCCCCCCCCCCGCCGTCCAGGAAGCCTTCTAAGAAGCCCCGGGGCTCCCCTGTCCCCGAGATCCGAGGTCGCGACAAAAGGCAGGGCGTCGCGAGAAAAATCGCGACCAGCGCCCTGGGCCCCATCTTCCTGCGGCATTCTGCGAGCGGGGCCATGATATGACGGCTCCGTGGCCCGAAGCCGGGCAACAACGCGTGGCCGCGAAAAACACAGCGACGGCCGGATCTCAGGGAAGGAGCACATTGCCCTCGCAGAGCCCTCGCAGAAACTCCCTCCCCCCTCGCGCCACACCCTTATCCTGCGCGCCGCCGACGAGATCGACCAAGCGAGGCCAGAGCATGAGCTCTGCTTAGGCTTTGTTTTCATGGAAGCCTTGAACTCCACCAGAAGTTGTTGTCGGGGGTGTTTCGCGGACATCAGCGGCGAATGGGGGCTGAATTGTTGACGCTTCGCGTATCCCCACCAGCGTGTTCTGGCGTCGCGACTTTGATTCGCCGTCAGGCTCTTCCGCTGGACTTGTGTCTCCAGTCAGTCTGTGTTACCCGTCAGACTCCCTGGATCGACGTCCTCGGGACCGTTCCTACTTGTTCGTATCCGAACTGCTGGGAACGCCTTACGCGCCATTTTGGCTGCGCTCGGTTTCCTCGGTGCCTGTCTTCAGACTCCCTGCATGCGCCGTTGCATGTCTCGTTCAGGGGCTGTTCTGCAGACTCCCTGGATTGCACGCTGGCTCTGACGCCCTGGGTCGCTGCTGCGTGCCGCCTGTCCGCGGCCTCGCGCGCGCCCGCCGCTAGTCGCGGCCGCAGCCCGCCCGCGACCGCCCGCCGCTGGCGCTTCCGCCTGCGGCTGTAAAAAAAAAGTATTCCCACCAGCGCGCGTTGTCGCGCCAATAATCTGTCGCTGTGCCCCAGCCTCGGTCACTCCGCCCTCTGGACTTCTCCTTGCGGGCCGCGAGTCAAAAAAAGTATCCCCACCAGCCCATCCAGAAACGATGCCCAGGGGAGTTGAGGTGATCAGGGAAGTCGGGGAGCATGCAGAATAACAAAGGGCGGGGGAAGCTGTCACGTACCCCAAGAGGGGGAGGATGGAGACGGAATCCTCGTCGGAGGGGGAGGGGGAGGAAGAGGAGGAGGAGGAGGAGGAGGAGAATGAGGAGGAGGATGTGGAGTAGGGAGAGGACGAGGAGGACGAGAAGGAGGAGAAGGAGCAGAGGGAGGAGAAGGAGGAGAAGGAGGAGAAGGAGGAGGAGGAAGAGGGGGATGAGAAATTGAAGAGGACGGCGAACCGAAGAGCCAGAAGCGTCTTAAATGCATTTCGGAGATCCTCTTGAGGCTTCTTGGGGGTCTCTTGGGAGCCTCTTGGAGGCCTCTTGGGCGCCTCTTGGGGCCGTCTGGGCGCCTCTTGGGGCGCTCTTGGGGCGCTCTTGGGGGCTGTAGGGGCGCTCTTGGGGCCATCTTGGAGGAGATCGATCAACGAAGGGGGGTTCCTAATTAGCCTCCCCCCTCAGGAGCTCCAAACATCGCCTCTTGGGGCGCTCTTGCTGCGCTCTTGGGCGCTCTTGGGGCCGTCTTGGGGCTCTCTTGGGCCTCTTGTGGGGCCCTCTTGGGCCATCTTGGAGCCACCTTGAGGCCTTGGATGGACATCGGAAGCGAAACGGGGAGAAAGCAAAACACATTGTTTTTTTTCGTAAGGTTTTGGGGCGATTTTGGCCTCTTCGGGGCCTCCTTGGGGAGCTCTTTGGCCACTTGGAGCCGTCTTGGGGCCGTCTTTGGGCCTCTTGGAACATCTTGGGAGCCATCTTAAGCGATCTTGCGCTATCTTGAACCATCTTGGAGCTCATCTTGGGCTCTCTGACGCGCTCTTGAAGCCATCTTGGGGCCAAACGAGCCGTCCGACCGCTCGCGAAACCCTGCGTCCAGCTCCAGGGGAGGGGGTAGGGGGAGGGGTAAACCCCTCACCAAGGGGGAAGAGGGAGGGGTGGAAGAGGATCTGTTCTAGACCACCTACGCCCAGAGGGCTGGTGGGATTGTTGACGGCTGGCACGGGGCGTTTGCTGCTGTCTGCCGCTAATCGGTTGCTGCTATCTGCCGCACTTCCCCGTTACCCAGCTGCCTGGGGCAAGTCCCGCCACCCTGTCGGCCTAGCTTTTCGGTTGGCTACGATGATGGTGATGCTGATGATGATGATGATGATGATGATGATGATGATGATGATGGTGATGATGATGATGATGATGATGATGGTATTGATGGTGATGATGATGATGCTGATGATGATGATGATGATGATGCTGATGATGATGATGGTGATGATGATGATGAGGTTGATACTGATGATGATTGTGCTGATGATGCTGCTGATGATGATAATGCTCATCATGCTGATTATTCTGAGGAGGATGATAATGTTGGTGACGATGATGAAGATGATGATGAAAATGCTGATGATGTTGATGATGACGATGCTGGTGATGATGATGATGATCATGCTGATGATGATGACCATGATGATGAATGTGCTGGTGATGATGGTGATGGGGATGATGATGCTGATGATCAGCATGATGATGATGGTGATGATGGGGATGATGATGATGCTGCTGATGATGATGCTGCTGATGATGGTGCTGATGCTGATGCTGATGCTGATGCTGATGCTGATGCTGGTGTTGATGATGATGCTGGTGCTGGTGCTGATGATGGTGATGATGGTGATGATGCTGATGATGACGATTGTGCTGATGATGATGATGCTGATGATGATGATCATGATGGTGATAATGCCAGTGGTGGTGGTGTTGGTGATGATGGTGGTGGTGGTGGTGGTGATGATGGAGATGATGATGCTGATGATGATGAGGATGGTGAGGCTGCTGATGCTGATTTTGTCATTGATGATGATGAGGATGATGATGATGATGGTGATAATGAGGATTATGATGCTGCTGCTGAGGACGATGACGATGATGATGATGATGATGCTGATGATGATGATGGTTGTGGTGGTGGTGATGATGAGCATGTTGATGATGTTGCTGATGATGCTGCTGATGTTGCTGTTGATGATCATGATGGTGATAATGAGGATGGTGATGCTGCTGCTGATGATGATGGTGATGATGATGATTATGATGATTATGATGGTGATGTTAAGGATGAGGATGATGATGAGGATGATGATGATGATGATGATGATGATGACGATGATGATGATGATGGTGATGATGATGATGATGATGATGATGATGATGATGACGATGATGATGATGATGATGATGATGATGATGATGATGATGATGATGATGATGATGATGGTGGTGGTGGTGGTGGTGGTGGTCGTGGTGGTGGTGGTGGTGGTGATGATGATGATGAGGAGGAGGAGGAGGAGGAGGAGGAGGAGGACCATTTGCTGTTGTTGGCCGCGACCTCGCAAACATCTTGACTGAGACGGGCTCCCACGGCAATTGGCGCACCTCCGCAGCGGCCGCAGGTGCCCCGCCACGTGCTCTCTGCGCACCTCTCCCCGGAGTCCCTGGAGGCGGCCGCCCTGCACCCCTCCGCGCGCCGGCCGGAGCGCGCCTCGACCGGCGCCGCCGGCTCCCGAGAGCCTCCCCGCGGGGGGCCGCCAGCTGTCCGACGATGCAGGGGGGACCCATGGCAAGAAGCACCCCGTTCGCCCATGGGATCGAGCAGGATGCATCATGGCAAATGTAGATAAGTCCACGTAAGCCCAAGCAGTCCGGGTGCATCCAGGCAGCTCCAGGTAGATCCGGGGATCTCCAGGGAAGCTTGGAGCAAGTCGTGGTCGTTCCAGCGCAGTGACGGCAGTCGCCAAGCCCTTACAGTGGGAACCCAGGCCAAGAAACACCCTGCTCGCCTCCAGGGTGCCTTGGGTTTCTTGGGTTTCGATGGTTTTGCTATGGAAGGCGTGACGTTCCCACGCCAAACAAATCGATGCATGTCCTGGGGTCTCATGGTTGGGTTTCTTGTGGAAGTGATCTTGTGGTCGAGCACCTACCGTATGATTTTTGCAGGCTGGGCGTGTGTCCTCGATTTGTTGAAGAAGAAAAGCGGTATAAACATACACTTGTGGCGCTCCGCGTGGATTTCTTGGATCCGCGCTGGACTCCCCTCCGGCGCACCCCCTGGCGCGCGGAGGGCGCCAGGGAAGGGTTCCAGCGCAGATCCAAGAAGTCCGCGCGGAGCGCCAACAGTTTATGTTTATGGCGTTTTTTCTTCTTCTAATTTCGGCCTCCAGGCCCACGCCGAGTTCGATCACTTTCCCTGAGGGCTCAGGCCCACCAGCGCTGGCCTCAGAGGGCAATGGTTTGGCATTGCGCTGGAATTGTGCGTTGCAGTGCGTGGGCATTGCGCTGGTACTTCGCAAGCATTGCGTTGGCGAATCCTGATGGAACCCTCCACAGAAGGACTCCCATTGAACCCCCCCCACAAGAAGGACTCCTGTTGAAACCCTCCACACAAAGGGTTCATATTGAAATCCTCCACTGAAGGATTCCATGCGAAGCCTTCCGCTGAAGGATTCCTACAGAAATCTACCACAACGGATTTCCCCAACTGGCATTGCATTGGCATTGGGTTGGGATCGCCTTGGCATTGCGCTGGCATTGCGTCGGCACTGCTTTGGCATTGCTCTGGCATTGCGCTGGCGAGTCCTAATTACTCCCCTCGCAGAAGGATTTTTTTGAAACCTCCACAAAACGGATTCCTATTGAACGGAAGTGCGCTGGCATTGCGTTGGTATTGCGATGGCGAGTCCTAGCGCCTCCCTTCGCAGAAGGATTCCTATTGACCCCCCCCCCGCAACGGGTTGCAATCTACCACAAAGGGTTGCCCCATACGACATTGCATTGGCATCGGATTCGGGATCCCATTGGCGTTGCGCTGTCATTGCTTTGGCACTGCTTTGGCATTGCGCTGGCGAATTCCAATGCCTCTCGTCGCAGAAGGATTCCTATTGCAACCCCCAGGAGGTCTCTATTAAAATCTGCCACACAGGATTGCCCCCAGTGGCATGGCATTTGCGTTGGCACTGCATTAGCATTGCGCGGGCGAGTCCGAATGCCTCCCTTCGCAGAAGGATTCCTATAGTATCCCCCGCAAGCAGATTTTTTTGAAACCACCTACCACAAAGGACTGCCCCCAACGACATTGCATTGGTATCGGATTTGAGATCCAATGGTATTGCGCTGGCATTGCGCTGGCATTGCGTTGGCACTGCTTTGGCATTGCGCTGGCATTGCGCTGGCGAGTTCCAATGCCTTCCTTCGCAGAAGGATCCCTATTGCAACCCCCAGGAGGATTATTATTTGAAATCTGCCACAAAGGATTGACCCATTGGCATGGTATTGGCATTGTATTGTGGTTGCCTTGGCATTTTTTTGGCATTGCGTTGGCATTGCGCTGGCGAGTCCTAGGGCCTCCCTTCGCAGAAGGATTCCTGTTGACCCCCGCAAGAAAAAAACAAAGGACTGTCCCAGACGACGTTGCATTGGCATCGGATGTGGGATCTTTTTGGCATTGCGGTGGCATTGCGGTGGCATTGGGCTGGCGAGTTCCAATGTCTCCCTTCGCAGAAGGATCCCCATTGCAACCCCCAGAAGGATTATTGTTGAAATCTACCACGTAAGAATGCCCCCATTGGCATGGCGTTGGCATATTGGATTGTGGTCGCCTTGGCATTGGTTTGGCATTGCGTTGGCACTGGGTTAGCATTGCGCTGGCGAGTCCCAGGGCCTCCCTTAGCAGAAGGATTCCAATTGAAACCATCCGCAAAAAAAAGACTCTCTTTGCAATCTACCACCAAGGATTGCCCCCAACGACATTGCACTGGCATCGGACTTCAGATTGCAATGATATGGCGCTGACATTGCGCTGGCATTGCGTTGGCACTGCTTTGGAATTGCGCTAGCATTGCGCTGGCGAGTTCCAATGCCTCCCGCCGCAGAAGGACTCCTGTTGCAACCCACAGGAGGGTTCTTTTTGAAACCCAGCCCGCATCCGCGCCGACGGCATCACGAGCCTCAGACGAAGTTGCAATATCCAGCATTCCTTTCCACGATTCCATCATCTGATCCTCCTCCTCCCCATCCTTCTCCTCCTCCTCCGATCCGAAAGAGAGAGAGGGAGAGAGAGAGAGAGAGGGAGAGAGAGAGAGAGAGGAAGAGAGAGAGCGAGAGAGAGAGAGAGAAAGAGGGAGGGAAGCATGAGAGCATACCGAAACAACGAAAGAGGAAAGAGAGAAATAGAGGGAGAGCGAGAGAGAGGGAGAGGCGAAGAGAGCAGGATATATGATACGAGAGGGAGCGACACATAAGGACAATAACATGACAACGCTGGAAACGAAAGAAACACCTCAGAAAGCCCGAAGGTCCAAAAACAAATGCCCCGCGAGCATGGTCCTTGAAATTCCAACCCCATGCCGCTTGACACAGGGCTGGAATTTCGAAGACCATGCTCGGAGCGGCGATGATTGCTTGAAGGCTGCCAAAACCAGAAGGATAGAGAAAGAGAGACGGAGAGAGAGAGAGAGAGAGAGAGAGAGAGCGAGACGAAGAGAGTGGAGTAGATGACGAGAGAACGAATGAACGAAAGAACGGAGGAAAAGGAAAGGATAATGCAGCGAAGAAGCAGCATCAAACAGTCACTCAACAAAGAAAGGCGGAGGAGCGGTTCACTCGATAACAAAAACCATATGGAAACGACGAGGTCTGCCACAATCCCCCGGCCTCTCTTTCTCCTCCTCCTCCTCCTCGTCCTCCTCCCTCCTGCACCTCCTCCTCCTCCTTCCTTCTCCTCCTCCTCCTCCTCCTCCTCCTCCGCCTCCTCCCTCTCCTCCTCCGCCTCCTCCTCCTCGTCCTCCTCCTCTTCCCTCCTCCACCTCCTCCCTCCTCTCTCCTCCCTCCTCCCTCCTCCCTCCTCCCTCATCCTTCCCTCCCTCCTCCCTCCTCCATCCTCCCTCCTCCCTTTCACCTCCTCCTCCCTCCCTCCCTCCCTCCTCCCTACCCCACTCCCTTCTTCCCTCCCTCCTCCCTCCTCCTCCTCCTCCTCCTCCTCCTCCTCGTCGTCCTTCTCCTCCTCCTCCTCCTCCTCCTCCTCCTCCTTCTCTGCGTCCTCCTCTTCTTCTCCGCCGTTCGACCATGCAAAACCCACGCCAGATCCCCTGGTATGCGCTGAGCCCCGTGGGGCCGTAGGTGGGGTGGTGTCGTGTTCTCTGGTCCACGTGGTGAGCCTCAGAGGGTCCCAAGATTCCTTGCGGTTTTGGGGAGTTTCGTGCGGACTTGATCGGATCTGGTGGACACCTGGAGGAATTCTGGACGAAGTTTGCACGACGTCTGGACGAAAGGGTGAAAAGGGGTGGTCGGATTCCGGTCGAAATCGCGTTTATGACAGGGCCACGGAGGTCCACTGGGGGTCCACCGAGGTTCCTACAGGCTCGCCCAACTGGGAACCCGAACGCGGCGAACAGCCTCCATGACCCGCTCTCTTCATGACCCGTCTCCTCCGCGCCAGCGGCGGCGGCGGTAGCGGAGCGTGCGCAGGCTGTCGGCGGGGAGGGCGGCCGCGTCGGCGTGTCCTTCCGCGCAGACCTGCTGGTGCCGTGTGCCCCCGCCCGTGGCGGAGTCGGGGGAGGGGGGGGGGGGGCGCGCGCGCGACACCTGCGGCCTGGCCGCGAGCGGCTGGTGCGATTCTGCTTGCCGCGTCCCCTCCACCCGCGGTGGGGTTGGTGGGGCTGGCGTGGGGATCACGGAGGGGGGAGAGAGGAGGAAGGAGAAGGAGGGAAGACTGGGGAGAGAGAGAGAGATAGGGGTCGGCCAATCCTCTCCAAGATCTCCTGGCTGACCCGAGTTTGGGTAGCCGCCTGGAGCCAATTCCCCTTCTCCCTATGAGGATGATGATGATGCTGATGATGATGATGATGATGATGATGATGATGATGATGATGATGATGATGATGATGATGATGATGAGGATGAGGATGAGGATGAGGATGAGGATGAGGATGATGATGATGAGGAGGAGGAGGAGGAGGAGGAGGAGGACGAGAAAAGGAGGAGGAGGAGGAGGAGGACGAGGAAAGGAGGAGGAGGAGGAGAAGGAGGAGGACGAGGAAAGGAGGAGGAGGAGGAGGAGGAAGAGGGAGGAAGAGGGAGGAGGAGGAGGAGGAGGAGGACGAGGAAGGAGGAGGAGGAGGAGGAGGGAGGAAGAGGAGGAGGAGGGAGGAGGAGGAGGAGGAGGAGGAGGAGGAGGAGGAGGAGGAGGAGGAGGAGGAGGAGGAGCCGATCCCCCCTCCCCTCCCGCCGCCGACCTGGGCTTGGGAGCCGCTTCGCGGCCGGCCCCGTGGTTGCGACGGTCGGGTTCTGCCAGCGGTGTCCATGGCCCGGGCTGTCCCCGGGAATTCCATGGCCTCCATCGGCTACACGTCACAGTGCCTGGCATCGCTCGGACGTGTGCATTTTGTCCTCGGCGAGGACCATCGGGGACCATCCTGGATCATCGAGCAAAAAACACACGCGCGAGGCCGAAAAATGCACGGGAAATGGACGTCCCGAGCGATGGCAAGAGTGACCTTTCGCCGGAGTGATCTTTGGTGCGGGCACAATGGGGTCCCCCGATCACCGATTGCGATGCGATAGGAGCGTCTTGCGCGCCTGTGTTTGGCCCCCCCCCCCCCGCGGCCCCCCCAAAGCCGCGCATCCAAGGTCACTCTTGCGCAGGGTTGCTCTTGCGTGTAGCCGACTACAGAGCTCTGGGCCTCATAGATGGGGGCGGAGCAGGCGGGGTCGGAAGATCGCGCCTCATCGCCGATGCACTGACGATGCGGCTCGATGTGGAGCCCGTGTTTCCCCACGTCGACGTCGCCGATGCATCGCCGATGTCGCCGATGCATCGCCGATTGTACCAGCAATGCGTTGGCGATGCGATGCGATCCTCCGACCACATCTACTCTGACCCCATCTAGGAGGCTTCTATCAGAGCACACCTCACTGGGCCGAGAGGGCCGCAGGGTCTCCAGAAGGGCCCGACAAGCTGAGGGCATCTTGGGACAGGACCACCCCAGGGGCAACGTGAGGGGGGATAGGCCCAAACGGGGATGCAACGACACCCAATCGCCCATTGATCGCCGATAGGTGCCCGATAGCCCGCCCCGCCCAGGAACGTGTGCATCCGCTATCGGGGTCCGATCGCTCATCTCTATCAATCGGCGATGTATCGCGGATTCCAGGTCGATGTTTCCCCCACTGGGCCAGTCCCCCCCCCAGCGTTTCCCCTCGCTATCCTGCGTTTGCGCGCTGATCCAGGTCCCATGATCGGGGGCTCCGAAGGGTGTGGTTGCGCCAGGGTGTGGCTTGCAATCTGCGCCGTTGGGCCTGGGGGGCACCGCGCTGCCCTCGTCGGGCCTCCCCCGGGGCGCGGTGGAGAGCTCTGTCGAGGGCCTCCCCCGCCCCCCCCCCCCTGGGTGCGGGTTGCAGGCCCCGCCCTGTGCCAGGAGCGGCCAAGAGGGGGGTGATGACATGGGGGGTGGATCTCATGGCCAGGGCCATGATGTCTCCCCAGATTTCGTGGCGCCTCTCCTCAATTTAGCACGTCCCCCGCCACCCCCTGGGCCGCGCACATGCTTAGGACCATGACTGGCGACCGCCCCTCTTGGATGTCCCCCTCTCGGACGCCCCCGTCTTTGCGAACCACACGCTTCGGTGTCGCCGACCCACGGCCGCGTCACGCGCCCTCCTCCTCGCTACTCCGCGCCCTCCGCGCCCGCGGGCGGAGGCTCCGTGACGCTGTACTGGGGCGTGCCGGTCCGGCCGCGGCCCGCACACCTCTTTGGGTCGGCCTTTGGCAGCGCCTTGCTTTGAGGCCAGGCCCAGGCTTCGGCCAGACGTGCTGCGGCGGAGTACGAGGTGGAAGCGAGGAAGAGGAGGATGAGGAGGAGGAGGAGGAGGAGGAGGAGAAGGAGGAGGAGGAGGAGGAGGAGGAATACGAGACGGGGGGGAGTAGGAGGACGATTGATGGCTTCGACCATTCGTGGTGACACAGTTCGCAGCTCCGAGGCTTCGAGGAGGAGGAGGGGGAGGACGAGACGCCCGTGTTGGCTCTGCACGTGTTGGCCCACGTTTGGTGCGTGTTGGCTCGGCACTGTGCGTGTTGGCCCGGCACGTGTGGGCCCACGCGTTGTCGAAGGCATCGCGCCAGACCTTCGTGCTCAGTGTACGTTTTGAGCTCCGTGTCAACACGCTACGTGTTGCGCGTTATTTGTCGGGGCAGCGAAGGGAAACATACAACGGCACCGCGGCAAGGCCACGGGACGAGTACGGTCAAGGACGAGGGCCCGACGCGAGGGGCGTGTGGATCGCCCTGCCTCCCCTTGGCGTGGAAGGCAGGCCCGACCTCTGCCCCGGCCGTTGCGCAGGGTCCCCAGCAGAAGACACGGATCAGGGGCCGCTCCATGATTCTCGGCGTCTCTGGTGTGCCCCTGGCAAACATGAGGGAAACGAGCAATGGCACAAACATAAAAACTCGGAGGTCCGCGCGGATCTCTTGGATCGGCGCTGGGCCCCCCTCCATGGCGCGCGGAGCGCGCCAGGAGCGGCGCCGGAGGCGCTGCCAGGAGGCCCCAGCGCCGATCCGAGAAATCCGCGCGGACCTCCGAGTTTTTCTGTTTGTGTCATTGCTTGTTCCCCTAAACATGTCGCAAGCGCGCCGTGGAAAAAAAATAACGTCGGCTCCATGGCGATCGCGTGGCTGTCAGCTCTGCTCGTCGGCGCTCTGCGTTGATGTCTGGCAGCTTCCTGGGCACGGCTTTTTTTGGGGATCCCTTATTCGGGCCGTAGTCGTTGGAGGCATTTACCCGAACTCCTCGTGGACACGTTGTGCACAGTGGAGTGCCAGTTCCAAGCTTAATAACAACAGTCGGGGGTGGACAGACCTCCTACCCTGACACGTCGATTAAGGAATTGGCCGTTTTCGGTTGGCGAGAGGGCGGCGCGGCCGTTAGTTTTGCGGGTCCAGGTCCGTCGGTTTCGGTCCCAGGCCGTTTTCATTAAGGGACGGTTAACTAAAGGGAGGTTTGTCCACCGCCGAAACAGTGCTAAACCGTATTGCTGTTGGTGAACATCAACCAGCCGCAGATTGACGGCGGCTCTGGGCGAACATCGGGATTTGGAAACCTAGGACGGCTTCGCCCAAACGGGAAAAATGACGAACGTGCGGCAACGGCGTATCAGACAAGGCTGGTGGATCCTGAGGGACCCACTCATCAGTGTAGGCCTCCAGGGGTCGTGCGACCCCTGGAATGCAACTTATCTGGCCTGGTTATGAGCTTTGTTCGGGGCCCTCGCAGTGGCCTGTCGGCTAGTTAATCCAAGTGAGTGCCCAGTGTGCCACGTGGACGAGGCCTCGTTGCTCATGCGCTGGGTGTATGGTGTGTGTGTGTGTGTGTCTGTGTGTGTGTGTGTGTGTTTGTGCGTGCGTGCGTGCGTGCGTGCGTGCGTGCGCGTGTGTGTGTGTGTGTGTGTGTGTGTGTGTGTGTGTGTGTGTGTGTGTGTGTGTTGGCAAAGGCACCGAACGCGTCCAGTATTCGAAGTAAGTGGACCCAGCTCTTACTTAGTTGCTGCAGGGCGTTGAGTGCCCCTGAGCCCACTGCAAGCATCAAACAGACTTTGCTAGCATTCCATCCGTGTCATCGGGAAAATATTCCTTCGTCTGAAGGCGTGTGCTCTGGCAGTGCCTCCAAATCAATGGCCAGGCCCTGCAGGCTTGGAAACTCCCTTTGAACCTTAAGCAGTCTGTCGGATGGGGAGACCGCCCTGGTCGAGTGGAAAAGGCCGATTCGGCCCTGGTTCCCGTGGCGTCTCTGCAGAGGCTTAGCCACATGGTGAGGCCAGGTCGGCAAGTTGGGATGCGAGGGCACCTGCCCTGTCCAGCTGGCGCTCTCTGCCCCCCGTTCCCCCCCCTCTCCCGCACTCGCGCCCCGCCTCCACGGCTCACTCCCGCTACCGCTCCCGCTCCCGCTCCCCAACCACGCCCCCCCCCCCCCCCCCCACCAGCATTCCCTGGTCCCCACTTCCACGCCACTCTTCGCCCTCGTTTCCGGGCCCCACATTTTCCTCCCCCGCCTTCCCCCCCTTCCCCCCCCACACTCGCTCTCGGCAGCCTCGGGCCAGGATGCCTGCTGATCCGACCGCAGGAGACACGGGGAGCGCGCATGGGGGTGGGAGAGACAGCTACGGGAACTTGGAAGGTCTAGGCCTCCCAGACGGGGTCCGAGTAGGAAAGTGAGCCAGTGGATCTCCTTGAATACACTAAAGGGGGGGGGGTCCAGAACCCCCCCCCCTCGAGATTCGATCTCTTTACAAC